CTGTGACTTGGTGGTTGAACTTGTATATCATAATGACCGAACGAGACATGATGGTGGGACCCTTGTCCCCTCGAGGTCCTACCATGCCACAGAGGTCCGTTGGATAGTGGTAAGACAAAAAGCTGTAACCATTATAGTATAAGTTGCTACACGATGATGGGGGTTTGAGAGTGAACTCATACTGCTGGCAGGATGAGGGTGTGAAACCTGTATGGTGTTTCCATAAATGACCAGCGGTGCCAGACTGAAGCTTCCTTTTCTATGAGAACTGGGGTTAAAAATAGTCGACCCCGAAATAGCACGTTCACTCTTTCGAAGCACCCCGATGCCTGCATAGGGGATTCATAGTCGGATTCAAAAGCAAAAAACCAAATTCTTAACCCTGCCATGTGCGATCAGCGCGAAGCAGATGTTTCTTCAACTCTACGGTCACACTATCCATTCTTCCTCAGGTATCTCAAGAAGAACTAGCCCTCCACAGTGTGGACAGCTGGGAAATGTAAACTGCCCTCACGCTTCCAGTACTACATAAGACCCAATAAAACATAATCGATCCTCCTCAACTCTTTCCTCATTTGCCTTCACCTCCTCATGCCAATTTTTAACCCGTTGCACCTTCCCCAACCTCATTCTGCAACCGTTGCGAACGATCAAAACCATCGAATCCTCATCCCTAGTCTCCAAGATCCAGCTATCGATTCCATGTAGCAGCTTTCAACGTGCCAACTCTATGCCGAATCGGACAGCAAGGATTGGTGATCAGAACTCTGGAATCTTGAGTCATGGATATTTCCTGTGTCTCTGAGATACATATATGGGAAACGAGTGTGGCTATTAAATTGACCTTATTTGGCTATAGTAGTGAATCTTAGAAATTCACCATACGAGTATCCTGAGAGCCAATGGCTATCTGTCGTGGACTCGTGTAGGTATAGCATTGAGTTGTAGAGCAGAAAGTATGTTTCTCGACTGGATACCAATAAACAGCTGTCTGTATGCTGTTCTGTTCGACCGAATGGACCTGTAAGATCTAAGAAGGGACGCGAGACTATGCGATGCCTATTCGTAATCTCCGCCTGCGCACCCACCGACTGTAGTTCGGATGATACAGAGGATAAATTCTGTGAGAAGCTGTTAATTTTGCTACACAAACAAAATGTTCAGATGCAGTCATAGTGGGAGGTGCGGTTAACACTGAAGTAGGGGGAGTCTGAAGCAATCGGAAAGGCATCTTGGAGGTATTTACGGAATCCCATGCCAAGGAACTGACAACGGTGATCGGCTGTTGCAGTTTTGTTCATACAGTCACCGTTGTCTCGCGACCACCAACAGCAGGCAAAAAGAAAGGCATTGTCTCACATGGCGTCTGCCGACATCAAACTGACGATGGACGCAGATAGGTCGTATCGCTCTGAGTCAGCCACCGTTGGAGAAGGTCTTGTGGAGGATTACCGATCTTACTGAAGTAGCAGTCTGGACTCTATCACGTGCTGGTGTCGGCTCTTGTATTTCTGCACCTAACTAGCCACAGGAAGCAGACGACAGAAAAGTCTTTCTGTCGTCGATTGGAAGACGAGGACTCCGAATGCCCATTTAGGAAAGAATTAGCTAATCGACTATCTGAACATGATAGCAATGCTCATCCTGTGGAGACCTAGTGTGGCGTGATATTAAGTCTGATGTCTGATCATATCTTCGCCCTTCAACAGGTTCTGGAACACAGGCGTACTAACCGACCAGTGGTCGACACTTGTCATATTTGTTGATCTGAAGGTGACGCTTGACTCTGTTGACCGTGGGGTATTGTGACAGTGTTTGACTGTGAGGGGAGTACTGTGCAAGCACACAACACTGATCAAAGCTCTCTACTCGAACTCACGCAGCCGTGTAAGGACTCATGGAGAGTTGTCATGTGAATTGATGACAACTAATGGTGTCCACCAGCAATGCCCCCACTGTCACTGTTCCATTTCAACTGCCTTATAGACACGTACAAATGGACATAACACTAGGTAGTACGTGTGACTTCACAGGGATTGACATAGTCACTGGAGGTCATCTGGCTGACTTGGAGTATGTAGACGATATATTATCCTGCTGGATGTAGATGCTGATGCAATGCAGGGTCTTCTGGAGGCGTTAATCAGGAATCTCAGTATGCTTGGTGTGCATCTCGCTGGCACCTGTACCTGTCAAATGTAAGATGTAAGATGATGCTCCAGTGCTGACTGGTGTGCTGCAAGCACTTCAAGTTGAATGATAGGGAGTGAAGTGAGGTGAAGTGGTGAGATGTGTTGACCACTTGACTTCCTTTGGAAGTTGCATAAACCCGAACGGTCTGGTTCCTGACAAAATTCCAGTTCGGACAGAGAATGCCCGTTTGACATTTGTCAACTTGCGTCACCTGTGAGTGACACTGGCACTGACTGGCGAGTTTTCCGAGCATCTATCAAAGGATGAGTATACTGTGCTTCAGTGCGTTCTGCCTTGTTGTAAGACATGGGGGTTGAAGGTAGACGACATGGTAGGGGCGAGGGGGGAGGGGGGTGGTTGCAGGTGTTGATCATAGATATCGTGGTTGCATTGCTGGTCATTTGGTAAAGACTGCTGTTCATCCGTGGAAACCATCTTACTTCCGTCACACCGTTGTCCAAGCGGAGTACGACTTCACTCTCCGGCTGTCATCATACCACAGCATTTTACACAATAACAGTAACTGCTTTCGCCTTATCACTATCTAACTTACCTTTCTGGTATGGTAGGACCTCAAATAACAAGCGTTCCAGTCAGTGTAGCTCGTTGAGTCATTGTGATATGCAAGTCTGACAACCATGTCAAGGTAAAGCTATAGATTGTGAAAGATATACTGAAATGTAACGTCGTTTTGGTCGATTTATTGATGAGTGTTTAACAGACGCTGGCGGTCCCAAACCACCTTTTTCTTTAGTAATAAATATCTAATCTGCCTACAAACCAAAGTTTTAAAAAATAACCAGCTACACGCTGTACAACCTCGGGAAGAGTACTCCTCATAATTTTTTTGTTGTGTACTTGTAACTTACGTTTGCACACTGGAGTAATAAACTAGCGAACAAATCGATGGAAAGATTGTCAATAATTTGGTTTGTATTCATATTAGTCAGTCGGTTATAGGATTGGCGAGTGAAAGTCTAACCTACAAAAAGTTCTAATCGTGGGGAAAGGTTAGCTTTGTAGTTTTATATCTATCATTTGACTTGAGTTATTAATAGTTACAGAATTAAACCTACATTTCAGTAAACCTCTGATAATGCATTTCAACAATTATATTCAGATTCACGCAATAGGCATTGGGGCGAAATTATTGCATAACATCTCGGCGTTACTATGGGTAGCTGTGTAGGGTGGATTGGGAACTTGTGACCCAATAGCTGGAAGCCGATTGCTTCAACGAATGAGTTGTTGTTTCCATAGTGAATCTACTAAATGTACACGATACACACAGCAAGAGACGATGAGATACATCTACCATTTTCAAGATGTAATTCTGCCACACGCATAAATTTAATATAAACCTATCAACTAATCTTTCCAACAGAATCATTCTTCGTAAAAAGGGTTAGAGTCTAAAAGGAATGTTCAAAACAATACATACACCGCACCAGCACCCTAGCAAACAATTAAGTGCATATATCAGCTACCACACAGATAATTATTTAATTCAAAAATAACAACACCAACCATCAACAAATATCTAGTTGGCAAATGAACGGACGACAAATCGCACACATGTGCAATTTATTCATCATAGTGGAACAATCACAAGAAAGAATAAAATTTGGATAGAGAAAAGTAACAATGGCAAGAATAATATAATTTACAGGGACAAATATTTCTTTTAAAAAACAGAGAAACAGGAGAGAAATAAAACGATGTGAGTTATTACATTTACGGGTCAGAAAATAATGTGTAGTAGGTAAGAAGCTTTTTGTTGAAAATGCTAGTCTGAATAGAGTCTCTGTTTTCCTTCCGTTTACTTGCCTGTCAAGTAAATATTTGCGTCGTCACATTCATGAAGAACTAGTGACATCTGTTTGAAGATAAGTATCACAAGGTAGCTTTTACAAGTTAAAGAGATCATATCATCTCTGAGTTACATAGTTACTTAGATGGGATAATTGTATAGGAAGATGATCAACCTATCTCAAAAGAAGAGGAATACTACAGAGGAGAGTAGGAATGCTTTCTCAATATCCACAGAATGTGACACAAAAAGAGATGTGTTACATATAAACACGTACTCATAGAAGTGTGCAACAATATGCACTGTTTTGCCCGTACCAAAACATCTGTACAAATCTAAGTACATATGGGTGAATATACGTATATATATGCGAATGAGTAAAATGACTGTAAGTAAACAACTTAAATAGCAGTTTCCAGATTACGATTGTTATGAGAAAACAGGTAGCAAGTATGAATTCAAGTTACACGTAATAGTTAGAAAAACCACTGAAATAAAATAAACAAATGAAATTATTAAATCATGAGTAGAACAAGTAGACAGATCAGTTCAATGAAATTACGTCACAGAAGTATACCATCATATGCGACATGCATACATCGATAGAATGATAACAGACAGGGGTTGAGAAAAGAGACAAACACAGAGATAGGCCAGTAGAAATAAAACATATTGCAAGTACATTACTGATCCCAAAATAGGAGCATCCATGTACAGGCAGATTGGATTATTCATGTAAACGAATAGACTAACTAATAGCATGGAACATGAGCTAATAGAAGAAACTATTTCATATTTGAGCCCGACGATTAAATATGTGTATGTGAGGCAAATATAGGAATAGTAAGCAGATAATGACAAATGTTGAAAGTGATTCTTACTTTTCTTAAACAAAGCAAAATAATGAATATATGATCACGGAAAAGATAAATTCCTATAATGAGAGTACTTTTTTTCACTTCTGCATAGGTCTGTTTCTTCGTTCTTCATTATTATTTCACAGTTCAACAAGCACATCCGCCTTGTCGAGTTCCACTATCGCTTGAAGTTGAATGCTAAGCTCAACATTATTTCGACCAGTGCCTGCAGCCAGTGAGCCTTTACTTAATACGCCTCCATCGACGCTGTTAAGATATACACTGTGAAAGGAAAACGCAAAAAAATGTATCAGAAACTTTTAAAAATTTATCAAAGTTAAATGTAATTCAAGTGTATTCGACATATATTTGAACTCAGTTTTGTTTTAAGACAAAAGTTAGCTTCGTTCACTGTTGTGAAGATGCTTGGAAGTCTTGTGACTGGCCTCATTCATAGTGATTCAATAAGCTAAACTCTAAATGCTAAGGACGTTATGCATTCACTGAGGTTATAATGAAGATTAAAAAACAGTCTAAATAAAGGCAGTGCAAGTTTGTCATAGTTACCTGAGATGCTCGATCAACTCTAGTATACCTCTGATCAGCGAAGTCTTTAGACGGATATGCACAGTTCGGTTAGCTTTACAAATTTACATCACGTATGGCAGTGATGAATTACGCAGATTCAGCAAAGGGTTAACACATAGTGTGCATAACATGTTTGCAGAACATAATAGTGTCATGCATACCTATACCTGACTTATTTTGATTTATACTGTTAAATAGAATATAAATTAAGTAGAAAGAGATCCAACCTCGCCTGGTTAACTAGTTTACTAGTTACTAGCCGGTCCTAAGCCCGGGTAAAGAGGGAAGGTTGGGCATAGGGCTAGCAACCCTACCCCGGAAAACAAATCCAACCGCTAAACAAACTTCAAAGCACAAACAAAATATAAAAAATGAAAACAAACTTATTCCCCGCTGGAATCGGAGAGGCGAAATGACTCCAGTTGGTGAAAGCCTGCCTTCGGGAAGCAAATTGGCCGATGTGTCTCCTCTTCTCTCAATGAAAGCGAAAGTAAACATGGGGACATGGAATGTCCGCACGATGTTTGAACCCAGTAAGGCAGCCCAGATCGCAAAGGAGATGAGAAGGTATAACATCGAAGTGCTTGGGATTTGCGAAAGCAGATGGAATGGGAGTGGACTGTCCAAACTGTCAACTGGAGAATCAATAATCTACTCCGATATTGTCACACAGACGACAACCACGAGCACACTGTTATAGAGTGGCTATCATGATGTCCCCAAGAGCATCGAAGGCTCTCATGCAGTGGGAACCAATCTCCTCCAGGATCGTGACAGCAAGATTCAACTCAAAAGGAAGGAAGGTCACAATCATACAATGTTATGCACCTACAAATAATGCAGAGCAGGAGAAAAAGGAGGATTTCTACAGACAACTTCAATCAACACTGGACAAGACGTCAGTTGGCGATATCAAAATTCTAATGGGCGACATGAATGCGAAACTGGGAGGGGACAACACAGGAAGAGAACTAACCATGGGTCGAGAGGCACTAGGTGAAATGAATGAGAATGGAGAATTGTTTGCAGAATTCTGCGCATTCAACGATTTGGTGATTGGAGGCAGTGTGTTCAGGCACAAAGATATCCACAAAGCGACATGGATTTCACCAGATGGACACACTAAAAATCAAATCGACTTTATCTCAATCTCAAGAAAATGGAGACGCAGTCTACTTAACACAAGGTCAAGAAGAGGAGCAGATGTAGGTTCAGACCACTCACTATCTAGTGCAAGGAACCTTCCAAATCAAGTTAAAAGCCTTCAAGGAAGCTGGTGATAGACCTCAACCCAAGTACAACACTCTGAAACTGAAGGATGAAACTACAAAGGAGATCTTCACGTCAGCCATCAAGACAAAATGGGAGACATCGAGCAACATCCCTGAAGAAACCTGTGTGCAAGAACACTGGAAGTCTTTGAAAGCTATGTGGAAAGAAACCTGCACAACAGTATTAGGAAGGAAGAAGAAAGAAGAAAAGAAATGGATCTCGACGGATACCTGGAAGCTGATAGAGGGGAGGAGGATGGTGAAGCAGAAGATAAACCAGTGCAAGGATGCTCAACGACAAGAGGAACTGAGCACAATGTATAAAACACTGGACAAAGAAGTGAAGAAGAGTGCACGCAAAGACAAAAGACACTTCTACGAAACACTGGCAAGTGAAGCAGAACAGGCTGCAGGTAAGAGAGACCTGACAACATTGTATCAAATAACCAGGTTGCTATCAGGGAAGAGACCAACACAGATGAAACCAATAAAAGATGAAGAAGGAAATTTAATTACAAAAGAAGAGAAACAAAGGAAACAATGGGCCGACCACTTCAAGAAGCTCTTGAATCGACCACCATCATCACCTGCACTTCGTCCAGAAATACCACCTGCAGCCGCTGAACTACAAGTGAACATAAATCCCCCAAAGAAAATGGAAGTCCTGAACGCCATAAAGCTACTGAAATGCGGGAAAGCAGCAGGACCAGATGGAATACCGCCAGAAGCACTGAGAACAGATGCAGAGACAACAGCGGACATGCTCACACCACTATTGCAGAAGGTGTGGAAGGAAGAGAAGGTACATGACGATTGGAAGAAGGGTTACCTTGTCAAACTGCCGAAGAAGGGAGACCTCAGTGCTTGCAAGAACTGGCGAGGAATCACTCTCCTGTCCACCCCAAGTAAAATATTAAGCCGCATCATCCTTGAGAGGCTTAAAGATGCACTGGATTCAAAACTGCGACCGGAACAGGTAGGCTTCAGGAAGTACAAATCATGTGCAGACCAAATTGCAACGCTTCGCATCATCATAGAACAGAGCATAGAATGGCAATCAGCTCTCTACCTCAACTTCATCGACTTTGAGAAGGCCTTTGACAGCGTCGACCGAGAAGTAATTTGGAAACTGCTTCAATACTACGGAGTACCGCAAACCTTTATCCGCCTCATTCAACAACTATATGAAGATGCCACATGCCAAGTAATTCACAATGGGAAGCTCAGTGATGCTTTTGAAGTGAAGTGGAGACAGGAGTGAAACAAGGTTGCCTACTATCCCCCATGATATTCCTGATTGTGGTCGACTGGACTAGATCATGCAGCAAACAGTAGGCAGCGAGAAGAGGGGGATACACTGGACGGCGGAAAAGAACCTAGAAGACTTGGATTTCGCCGATGACTTATGCCTAATGTCACACAAACTTGAAGATCTGCAGGCAAAAACTAACAAGTTGATAGAAGAGGCAGCGAAGACGGGACTTCAGGTGAATATAGAGAAGACAGAAGTGATGAAGATACCGCACCACCACCATCAACAACAACAACAAACTCCAATCACCATCAACGGGAGAAACTTGAAGGAAGTAACCTCCTTCACTTATCTAGGAAGCACTGTTTCAACTACAGGCGCTGCACAGACGAGGACGTCAAAGTCAGAATCGGAAAAGCAAGACAGGCGTTCATTAGCCTGAAACCAGTGTGGAGATCTTCTGCACAGCACTCAGCATGCGGAACAAGATACGGATTTTCAACACCAACGTCAAGTCAGTGCTCCTGTATGGCTCAGAGACTTGGCGCGTCACGAAAGGCATTTCCAATAAACTACAGACATTCATCAACAACTGCTTACGCTCGTTACTGAACATCAGATGACCAGAAAGAATAAGCAACAAGGAGCTCTGGGAACGAACCAACCAAGAACCTATCACGCAACAAATATGCAGGAAGAAGTGGAGATGGATTGGGCATGCACTGAGAAGGCCGACGGAGGACATCACGCGTCAGGCCAGTTGCTCGAGTGGAATCCCCATGGGAAGCAACGAGTTGGGCGTCCCAGCTGAGGGTGACATGGAGGAGGTCGTGCGAGGAGGAAATGAGAGCTTCTGGGCTGTCGTGGGACCAGGTTCAAAAGATCTCAGAGAACAGAGATCACTGGAGGCGTGCTACTGAAGCCCTATGTTCCACTAGGAACCCAAGGGACTAATAAATAATAATAATAATAAAAAGAGATCCGATGATTGGAATGAGTTTTATAAGGTCATGAAGCTACTGACTGTTGGTATGAAGCATGTTCAGAATGTCGATATGGGTCGCGTTTGTGAGGTTGTTGAAAATGGCATGGCTTTAAATTAATCGAAATGAGGTAAACATGTCCATCTTTAGCTTTTAGTGAGCCGTTTCGTTTACTCGTACACGCCACCTAGAAAACCACTCCAAATGAAATACTAACATGACAAATGATTCCTACATTATTTAACATCTTAGCAGACCACTCATACACAAATATCAGGTAGAGGGACCAGGTTAGCCCATTACTGGTGATATAAATGTCAGCATATGAACTGTGCAAAAACATGTTGTTACAGTAAATACAGTGACATTCAGAACAGCTTAAAAACCTTTTTATATTGTATTATATCATATTAACGGAGATTACCATGGTATTATTTGTTGTAAAATACTGCTGCAATTTAACGCTATCACTCATATCCACATGTTAAGAAAGAGCAGAGATTTAAACAAACCTTCATATATACAAGGTACTTTCGATTCAACTTGTGTCATTTATGCTGCCTTATCGTCTGATAACATTACAATAACTATGATGGCAAAAATACTAGGAAAAAACAGTCGAAACATACATAGAGTTTGACGGATACTGATTGACAAAACTTAAGTAGAACCTGAAATATATGCATCGGCTCAAGTTGCAACACGTCAATGAAGCATACAAAAAACAAGTGGGTAGAAAAAGAATCCTATCAAACAAGAAACAGTACGGTGAGAAAAAACAAAGAATAAACGTTAGTTAGAATGTTCCAAATCCAGATGTCAAGAAGTCAATACATCTGCGCCACTGTGACCAATTTTGAGCCACGTCATTGATTCCTTTCGACCAATGGGTCCCCAAGGCTAGCAGTCTACATCTCCCGTGTTTCAGATCGCCAGTCAGAGACTCCATCGAATGGTGACACATCTTGATCTGGTCACACTGAATACCTTCAAACCAATCCAACTTCCCTTAGCTTGGTACATCGAAGTAGACGATGACTCCACATGCACAACACAAGTTCAAGCCACCACACACAACGCAGCTTCACAACCTCCTCAACCGAATCCCCAACTATATCATGCTCAGTACCCTTCCCCCAACCTCAAAATTGCTCACACAGAAATTCAACCAAACGACCAGCAATGCAA